TCCTGCTTCAGCCTCCTGTAGCTGGATTACAGGTACATGCCACGATACCCAGCTAATTTTTGTATTTTTAGTAGAGACGGGTTTTACCATGTTGGTCAGTCAGGCCGGTCTTGAACTCCGACCTCGTGATCCGCCTGCCTCAGCCTCTCAAAGTGCTAGGATTACAGGAGTGAGCCACCACACCCACCCATGCCAGCATATGCCCTTAGAGCCCCTGAGAAGTACTGGGGATGAATTCCACGCTGTGTACGATAGATCAAAATGCATAATGGAAATCATATATTCGCCTACAAACATACACGCAGTGTAACAAAAGCATGAACCATCACTTTCAAAAAGTAAGATGATTTTATTGCTTTTTCTCTTTACTGATTTGCTTTTATATTATACTGAATAAATTATAGAAAAATGGTTTGATAAATAAATCATTGCTAGATCAAGGTTTTCAAAACCCAGGAAACAGCAGAAGAAAAAGTTTTCCAAGAGACCTTTGTTAAAGAATGCAAACGCCTGCTTCTTGCTCTGAAATCCAAACTTCTTCCCCGCTGTAAACTGTCCTCATAGTTATCAGCAGTACCAGAGCCTGAGGGAAGGGAACTGTGCACCTGACCAGGGTGGCAAGGACCATCTTGTGTCACTACAAATACAACACTAGCTTGAGTCCAGTAATCTCTTTCTGTTCGCCACTGTAAGCCTTCCCTAGGAGCTCAGACGTAAGTGCAACATTCATTATTACAACCTGAGCGGATAGAAAATAATGTGTCCAAAAAACTAATTGTCAAGTGGCCATGAACCCGGTTGTCTCTGACCATTAGCATGAGACACTAAATGGCTATTAAATGAAGGGATTCAGATCCCATTGCTGGATAATTTCAAGAAGTTAAAAAAGAAGGCTATCCTTTCTGCTAATAGATACTCTCCCAATGGGAAGCACGATTCCAGTAGCCATGGTGTTCCAAGGTTACATAAAAGCTGGTGTAGGCCAACTCTCCCATGGCTTAGTAAGTTTTTCTGAGAGGAATGTGCCTAGGAAATTGACATCCTCCTCTCTCACTCCTACGGCCTCCAGCTGGTAAAATCCATTCATGCCCCCAAGCCCCAGCTCCAATGCCAACTCTTCAGGAACACCTTCCCTGACCAGAGCCCCTTGGCAAGATCTGCTTGCCTTTTGTCTCCGTGGTTCTTTGTGCAGGATGTTAATAAATACTTATGCTGTGATATGATCGCTCCTCTTTATACAGTGTCAATCTCCCATACATTACAAATTTCTTTAAGGCAACACTGCACTGTTTCCTCAGTGCCGGGATGTGATGCTTGGCAAGTCACAGTACACCTCCTATCTACCATCTCATTTAATGTTTGCCATGGTGCAGTGAGGAAAGTAAAATATGATGATTATCGCCTGCCTGATTGAGAAAACCGGGGCTTCAGGAGATCAATTATTTGCCCAGGGTCCTACAGCTAAGGACTTAAAAAAAAAAAAAAAACTAGACTCAGTCCCAGTTCTTAGCAGCTTGCAAAGTTTTCATGACATCTTTTGCCTCCAATAAGCTCTAAAGGCTGCTTCACCAAGGCAGTAAAGACAGATCCGCAGCATTCCAGATTAGTCTGTATATGAACAGTTCATTTTGTGATACCAAGAGGCATGTTTAGAATTTGTTAGGCACACCAGCCCTGATGCTCACAACCTTTGCTTATAGGCAGTTCTCTTGCTCCCTGTTTTTTTTTAACCTGTGAAAAATATACAAGTGGAGGTTTTGTAAAGTTTCTTCAATGATCATATATTAATTTTTAAGAAGAAAAGAAAACCGTCGTCTACATGGCAACAGCAGGAAAACAAGATCACAAGCACACGGATGGTGTGGGGTATGAATTTAATGCCTGCAGTCTACTCTTAACTCAAAGGGTGAGGAGTTTCTGTTTAATCCGCAGTGTTTATCAGGAGGAGCCTCTGCAGCTGGTGGATATGAATATTCCTCTCATTAGGAAAAGTATCCCCTCCTGGGAAGAAGGAATGTTTATTTCATCAGCCTTGGCCTCAGCCTGGCTGAAATAAACCCTTTGCTCTGACTTGACACCCTCAAAGCAACTTTATAATTGTCATTTGTCTTCCCAAGCAAATGTTCCTTCAGGGAGAGGGATCGAGAAGCCTGGGTATTTTTATTTGCAAGATATGCACACTCTTCATTATAAATTAATAAACAAGGCATTCTGTTTTACACACCAGAGGAAAAATAAAGTATGTAAAAAGTGAAGTATCTAATATTTCTGACAGAATCTGCCCCTGAGATCCTGTCTTCTTAATACTTTATCATGTCGTGGTCCTGTCTCCCCTGACCCAGCCTTGCTCTCTGTCTTACAACCTCTGTGTATTCTCACTGTTTATGGCCCCAGTGCAATGTCATCAAAAACTCCTCCAAGACTACATGGGCAAGTTCTGGCAAGAAAAAAAATACCTTGATATATATTATAATATCTGTAATATTTAATGAGAACTAGTTCTCAGTTTTTCTACGAATTTGGACTAGACTACAATTCCTACACCTGCAAAGTTCTCAGCACACAGAACAAATCGTCTAAGGATATCACATGGTGCCAGATACTCACATTTTCTGACCGGAGCCTCTTAGCAGGACACCCTCCATCCCTGGGGTGAAGCATGTAATACAGCCGGACTTTGCTTGCATGTTTTCGACTCTGAGAAGGAAAAGCAGAAACAGATACTGTAAAAGAGATGTCATTTCAAATCCTTTGAAATCTAGCAGTGCCTGCAAATGCAAAAATGGGATTGTCAGTAGAAGACACTTCTGCAAGCTCCTATGAGTGATGTAGGGTGTAGTTTCAGACAGGTTAAGTGGTTTGCCCCAAGTTCTAAAGCCAATGTAATTTCATGATGGGAAAACACAGTAATAATGAAGGTGAAGGCATGGGGATCATTTAGCCTAGAGTGGATAATACACTATATTTAATCTTCCTCAAAATAAAAATAAAAAAGCAAAAGAAATAACATAAGGATCAATTGTGATGGGAAGAGGAACAGTGATCACTCTCACAACTGCTGCCCTGCCCTTAGGGTCTGGGGACAATGCCTCCCTGGGAGCCTGGTACACCTCACCCTCAGTAGAAGCCTTTTCTCGTGGCTCTCCCCTACCCAAGTTATTAATAAGCTATCAGAAGGGATGGGATTATCTAAGGCCAGATATCATGAGCAAACTAAAGAGAATTGTATGTCAGTCTGGGGACTGACCACAGCCTAAGCTACCTGCCAGCAGATGATGCAGTTGAGCAAATAAAGACCCGTGTTCTTCGGAATTAGCAGGATTGTTGATTTCTGGCTATACTGAGGTCCATGTGCAGCATGGAGAAACTGATGCCTTCTTTGTTCCCTATTTCCTCTTTGCTCAACTGACAGTCCACCTAGATTCCCACCACTTTTAAAGAATACAGCAGTTCTGATTTCCAAGTTTCTATCTGAGGCAGGATGGCAGAGTGAAAAGAACGCTAAGAAAATCTTCAGACATTCAGAATCTGGGTTCCAGCTCTACCACTTCCTAACTGTGTGATATTAGGGCCAGTTTCTTACTGGAATGTGTTTATAACCAAAGTACGTCTCATTTTCTCCATGTACAAAATGAATATCACAATATTTGTTAGGGTGTCATAAGAATCAAATAAGACATTGCATATGAAAAATTGCAATCTGCATAATGTTAAACATTTCTCGCTGTTGACCGAATCAACTCTTCAATCCATTGTTCCCTAATTCCAATCCCCCTTCCCTTTTCCTTTACTCGGAGGTTATTTCCTTCTTTTCAAGGCTTTTGTTCCACTACAGCTTTATTTACAGTTGCGTCCTAGCCCATCTCCTAGATGGTGGTTTACTTTTATCAATCAGCCACGAAGGCAAAGTGATTTCCAGAGAAGACACAGCAAGTTGCATCTTGTTTACAGGTTAGATTGTAATCCTTCCTGTCCAATTTCCTCATTCATTACTTTCTTAATTCCTTTATGCTGCCTAGAACAAAAAGACCAGGCTTCTGGACAATCCCTGAACATTTTTAAGGCCTTTAAATGGGTTGAAAAGTGCCAATGAAACATGAAAATTTTTTACAGATGTGTAAAAATAGTGAAATGTGACTTGGAAATACATTGTCAACACTTACACACCATTTCTATGTTACACAGTAGGTTTTAATCAAAGGTCATCTGAAGTATTTTTGTTCGTTTTTTTGTCTAGAAGATTGTTAGGAGAAACAACATGTAGATGTATGTCAGACGAGTTGACATCAATGTTCAGCTTCTATATGAAAATGACAGTGCAGGTGTACATTGTTCTCTTTGCAAATAAATTTGCAGCTTGCTAACAACTGCACGGATTTTCTCCCATTTTGCTGAGGGTATTTTGGAGGTAAGGAAGGAGTCATGGTTATATTGGGACTATTGCTGCAGTCAAAAGAATAAAAAGGAGCAACTAACCTGCAAGATGCTAACTGTGGACACAGCCTGGGCTGGTGAAAAGGCACACAGACGTAACTGATGGAAAAACAAGTGGTAACAATGTGAGCTCAAACGCGGCTGACGTAGACTTTCAATTCTGCACTTGTTACCAGAGAAGAACTTCTTTTCACATTCCCTGCATTATCAATCTCTTAAAGCTCTGGATTTCCAGAGAATGAAATTACAGCAAAACTGGAAATCTCATCACACAGCCTGGTTTCTGGCTGTTTTTGTTTTCCCCTCTTAAAGTATTCCATTTCTTCTAAAAGGGCTTTCTAGTAAAGGCAGAGTTCACTGAGTTATTTATTTGATTACAGTTAGACAAACTAGTAAAAAGTCGTTGGCTGAAAAGAAAAGGAAAATAAATGCCAAGCTCTACTATGAAGCCATTAGTGATGTGAGATGTTGGGATTTGAGGCTTATTAGTGATTTTGATCATTACAGGCCTGTTTTCCTCCCTCGGTGACCCCCAGCTCCAGTTTGGGTGGGAGAAGGAATGGCTATACCTGCAGTAGTGCCCTAGCCTAGGGTTTTGGGTGATGGAAATCAGAGCCTTGGCAAATACCTCCTGATTCTGGAATGACAGCGGAGGCATCCCTGATCATCATTTAGCAGCATTCGTTATGCCTGGGCATCTTTTTTCCCTCTCTTTGCTTTCTCCAGGGTGCTGGGACCAGATCCAGTGCCTTCCCTGCTAACAACTTCCAGCAGGAAGTGAAAATCTGCAGGCTTCTCAGTGGGAGGAATGTGGAGTCACATTCCCTGTTAGTCTGGCTCAAATCCAAAATTGATTCCAAATTATGTTGGTTGACAAAGGGAAAGAGGTTCCCTGCAGATTGTTCCTGGGATTTTTACAGCTTGCCTTGCCTCTAGCCTAGGCCTATAACACCTAAGGATGGAGACCTGCCACGGAGCCCTTTCCTTTCTTTCTTTCTTTCTTGTGTGTGTGTGTGTGTGTGTGTGTGTGTGTGTGTGTGTGACAGAGTCTTGTTCTGCCACCCAGGCTGGAGTGCAATGGCACAATCTGGGCTCACTGCAACCTCCGTCTCCCAGGTTCAAGCGATTCTCCTACCTCAGCCTCCCAAGTAGCTGGGATTAGAGGCGTGTGTCACCACGCCCTGCTAGTTTTTGTATTTTTAGTAGAGACAGGGTTTCACCATGTTGGCCAGGCTGGTCTCGAACTCCTAGCCTCAAGTGATCTGCCCACCTCAGGTGCCTTCTCCTTTCTTCCCAGCTTTCTCACCTCTCTTTCTAGATGAAACTCTGAGACACTTACATCATCTTCCTCTAACCGGCTCCTCTCTACCCCGTACCTACTAGAAATTCTTTAAGATTTGGCACAGTAATCGCACTCCTTTCAATTTATTGTAAAAAACAAACAAATGAACAAAAATCTTTCCTACAAGAAAGTGAAAATTAATTGAAGCAAAGATATCCATTGCAGCATTACCTAAATAGGAACAAAAAATTAGGCAGACAATTGCAGATTCAACAATAGAAGGCTAGTTAAAGCAGCCGTGGCATGACCTATATTAAAGGGACATTTGGGGACAAAAAACCCTTTATACACACACACACACACACACACACACACACACACACACATAAGGTTTTTAATGTATATAATATATATACATATATGCGTACATACATATACAATGAATGCTGAAAGAAAAATGCTAAACTCAAAACTACACAGATACTATGATTACAGTGACATAAAAGTGCATAAGTAGATAATACAGGTAGAAAAGAAAAAAAATAATGATGTATGAGGATATGGGGAGTATAAATGGTTTTTATTCTTTATTTTTATAACAAATTTGTTTATAACATTCATATAATAATAATAATTTTACAATGCTTAAGCCATTTTGATTTCACATTATGTGTACTTTTTACCCCACAATTATTGTACTTAGTAAAAAGAATCACTGATCATAAATGCTTTTAATGTACACTGGTATAATTGACCACATTTTCATCTACCCTCGTTAATGTCTTATTAACATTCAGACATTTTTGTTTCATTGCAGTACTTGGTATTAAATGAGCCTTCTTAACCCAAGAGCAACGCATGCTACTTCAAATTTGAAAACTTCCTTTTGGTACATGTAAATGCCAGGGTACATATGTGTTACTTTCACTCCCTGGGTATGAATAGAGACTAGAGGATGGGGAGGCCTAAGCTATCCACACAACTACACTGAGAAGGGCTGGAGGAAAAGATACATCTGACTCTGGCTCTTACATCCTCCAAATAAGCATAAGCAACAACGCATCCTTATGACTTTTGCCCAGATTTATTAGTACCCAAAATTTCCACTGCTTTTAAGGGTCTGAAATGGCCAAGCGAAAAGAACTTTAAGGAGAAAAAAATACCCACCTGTTAAATGTATATGTTACAGAGTTTCAGGGAGAAAAAAAGAACCATTACTTTAAGGGAAAAGACATGAAAAAGAAATAACAATCTCTTCCAATTGCACTGAGAGTCCATCCCAGGTTCTTTTCTGCATTCATATTTGCATTTTGAGCAAAAGTCATTACTTTCATTCAAACCACATCAACTTTAAGCTTCCCAGATCGACCAGAAATTACCAACTCTTCCATTTTAATTAAAGCATTTGCCCCCAATCCTAGGCATTGTGCGGGGACAGACCTATCTGAAGATTAGTTTCTTTTGCTGAAACAATCTCTTGGCACGCAAAGAAATAATCTAAAATGGAAATTCAGGCCAGTCTTCTCTTTGGGGGAATAAAGAACAAGACAAACGTCTATTTCAGCTGTATTGCTGTGAAAGGAGGTGAAACACATAGAAACAGAATGGCTTTGTGCCCCACCTAAATAACCATCTTCCATTATCACACATGCCTCAAAAAGATTCACAACTCAAATTTGCTTCCAACAAGGCTACTGATTTCTGGTCCCATAAAATGTGGAGATAACAAAGCAACCTTGTATTTGCATAATGCTTCAGGCAGTCTTCAAAGTCCTTTCACGTTCATCATCTCGTTTCATCCCGGAATCACAGTTGTGAGGTTGGCAAGAGAGGTGCTATCTCAAATAAGCTTTAAGATCCATTCCTGATTTCCTAGATAAGTCTTCCACCATCTTATTTCATCACAGGCATCTAATTATACCTCTTCTAGAAACCAGCTAAAATAAGCCAAGGACCTCAATAAAACAGGAAAACCTGGAGC